TCGATTTGTCAGCAAGTTTCTGGGCAGATTTGGCCATTACAACGACAGGAAATATGTAGATGGTATAGATGAGTGATGCAACCACAGCAAAGAAAACTGTGATATCGTCGTACACTGCATCATGTGAAAGATCGAGTTAATAAACTAGAACATTGATCATCATTTCCAAGTCTCATCTTACCTCTTTCGAAAATTAGACGGGGCAAAGAATTTATCGGAAGCATTTTTGGATCATAGAACAGATTCGCTCGGACCTTGATGTCAAAAAAAAATGAAAATAGCATGTATAAGTCACGAATTCCGAAAATCAAATAAAAGAGACTCAATTCATCCTGAGCCAACCCACCTTTTGAGTTTCTTCCCTAGGAATATCAACATTCACCATACGAGAACAGAACAAAGTTAAAAATCTTCAAACACAATGTGCATGTTGATCCAACAAAACCCAGATACTCACGTCACTTCACCCAATTTATCTTTTAAATTTTTTATATCAGCTTCTTGTTCCGATATCTTCTTGGTTAAGACATCAATTAAATTTTCTACCTTGATAATATGATCAAGTTGTTGTTCCTGTTTTGACGTGATAGTTTCAAATGGCGGCAAATTAGTCAGTTTTAATGACTGATCCTTGATAATAGCATCAAGGCTGGCATTCAAAGAAAGGAGAGATTTGTTGGAGATTTGAAGATCAAGAAACTTTAGAAAAGAATTGATCCGTGTGTAAGTATATAAAAAAAAAAAAAAATTGGTTATTAATTTATTGCGGTGTTAAGAATTCTTCTATAATAAGGTTGCGACTTACTTTGCGCTGAACTTTTGGATTCGAAGACAGTGACATAAACTCACTTATCCCTTCTCGGTCATCATCTTTATCATCTTCACCTTCACCATAATCCTCCTCGATTTCTTCGATGGTTTCATCATCATCATCATCGTAATGATAACCATCATCCGCCTCATAATTATCGTCTTCCTCGGTATCAATCTGCGCGGATGGAATGACCCTTCGAGGTCTATTCTCAAAATTGTCAGAATGTGTGCTCGTTACATCCATCATCGCATTCATTGAAACTTTGGGTTTATGTTGTCTCAAATCTCCTCGTAAAGGATTTGGAGCAGTTTGATTGATAACGTTTGCTCTTGTTTCCTTTGGGTAATACGGTACTTCGGACCACGTTTGATCCGTACCTTGCGTTTTAGAGTTGTATCGGGGGTTCAACTGGCGTTGACCACCGTGATGAGGCGAAGATGTATTATAGCTAACTAAAGAGGAGGCCTTTGATTTTGGCGAATAGGATTTTGACCATTCGTTGTTATTGAAGTTCCTGTCGTAATTGGAATGATTGTCGAATATGTTTGATTTAAAACCGGGTTTCTTGGGATTTGTGTTCTGACCAGAGTCACTCCTCCGCGAGATGTCTGAACGAGTATAATTAAACTCGGACTTTGGAATAGCATTCGGATTAGATTCGAATGAAGCATTAAGAGGTGAATCACCAGATATACTATTTGTTCTCCTTTGTCGCGTGTTTATAGTATTTTCTGGTGGTTTGACCTTGAAGGCACTATTGCGACCCGGGTCGCTGCTCCTAGATACCTCGGACATGCCATCATACCGCTCTAGATAATTTTCTGACAAAGTTGAGTCCTCGTATTGTCCTTGCTGTTTTTTCTGTGGTAATCTTATACTACTAAAATCCGATATAATCATATTTGAGGAAACTTTTGCACGAGATTTTTTAGGAGCAGTATCAGTATTGGCCTCTTGCCCATCCGCCAGACTTCTCGTCGCACCACCAATCTCTGAACCAAGACCAGCTTTAACCTTAGGTTTAACCTGTTCGACTCGAGTTATTGAAGAATCTGAGGATTCAGTTTCTTCAGAACTGGAACCAGAACTGTCACTTTGGTTGGGAGATTCAGTTGCTTCTGAAGAGAAGGGTTTCATTCCACGCAAACTCCCACCTATCGTTTCTGAAAAGGTGCGGGAATGAATGATTGGTGACTTGTCGCCCAAATTTGAATTGCTACTCAAATCTTGACTTCTCGCCTGGTTAAAGGCCAAGTTGGCAACATTCATTATCGGACTGCTGACATTGGGTTTTCGAGATGCCCCATCTTTGTTTCCAGCAGCTACGTTCCTACCGAATAACTCTTCAAAGTTCATGACGCCGAATGATTATTGCCAAAACGAGTACAATCATGATTTTATAATTGGGATCACGTGTCATGCATTGAGGAGACATGAGGAAATATGGTAAATTAGGCGCCCCTATAAATTTTGATATGACTCGTCTTTAAAAAAGTTAACTTTTTAAACATGACGGATTAATATAGTGCAATATACAGTTGGAATCAAATGTAACGTCCGATAATCAAAAATGATCGCAAATACTACTTACCATATTTCAGCGTAATAAATTTTTATTGTACAGAATTTAACTCCCTTTTTTTTTTTTTAAAAAAAAAAAAAAAAAAAGAAAAAAAGGATATACCTGTCTCTCATAAAATCGTATAATTATAAGATTATAAGTCACAAGTGCCGGAATTACAAGAATTGTTATTATCGGGCGCCAAATATCTCCAGACAGACTTTGTGTAACGTATTTCGCGCTGACCATTTTCAGGCATGAGTAATTGCTAACCTGATTTTGCCACCTGATGACCAGGTTGGATTTTTATTTTTATTTTTATTTTTTTTAGGCCTTACCCTTTAGGTGAGTCTCGCGAAGGAGAATTCATTTCCTCCCAAAATTCGCGAAAGAGAAATAATTTCCTCCAAAATCCGCGAAAGATCAATCATAAACATCATCGCATCGCTACGGACTAAACCGATTCCATTTATCTGGTGCCTAATCT